CTATGTCTCAAAAAGACAAAAAAGAATCAAAATCAAAATCCATAGACTGACTGAAGGCAACTGCTCAGAGAAATCGTGAGATGGACAAGGTCTACTGCAGGGCTTCTCTTCAGTATCTAGTCTTGATTTTTTTCTGATAATTATTCCAAAAGTCAGCATCTCTTTACTCACAGGAGGCAGAACAGCCCTGCATTCAGTTCCCATCTCCATCTTTGATTTCTCTACCTTATATTTTTAAGAGTTTTGCATAGGTGTCACATAGTAACCACAGATGTTGAACTTGTACAGTGTGGTAGCATTTGCAGGGCACCAACCACTCATCTTCAGTTTCCCCTGAGCAGGTACCAGAATACCAGCCTCCTCTACTGCAGATGTAAACCTCAATGGCCCCCATTTCCTTAAGTTCTGTTACACTTCTTGTCCAGTCACATAAGTGAGACCCAGCTGGCCACACCAGGACAGTGACCTGTGTTCAAAGAAACCCTGAGCCAGTGTTCCCACATACCTATCTCTTTATTCCCTATGATTTCCCCCCATGGATATCACTTCCTAGATATGCTGATAAGTCTCCAGGAATTTCCTATTAAAGGAAGATATGTCTACTACTGAAGAAGTGACCCTGTGTTTGCTCAAGACAGATCAGCTCCTGCCTCTGACCCTTTGTCTCATCAAGCACAGATGGTCACTCTCAGGTGTTCTATTTCTAAAGGCAGTTTGTGTGGTGTCCCCACTTATGGAGAATAGGGTGCTCACAAGCCAAAACCAACCAGAAGCACAGTTAAGGAATAGAAACAGAAGGAGGCTTGTCAAACATGCAGACCATAGTGGAGCCAGTGGCTGAGAGGCATGGGACTCACAGATGTAGGGTCACAGTGTGGGACATGCAGCTAGAAGACAATCTTATTTGTCAAGGAAGATTGGGTGTCCCAGGGAAAGCCACAACTAAACACTTCTGTCTCAGACTTGATGAGCGTGTGTGTGTGTGTGTGTGTGTGTGTGTGTGTGTGTGTGTTACTTAACAGCTGTGCTCTGGTAGAGGAAGATATGGTCAGAGCCATCCAGGACCCATGCCCAGTATGATATCCTACAAGAAAATTGGCTAATTCTCTTCAAACCAAAGTTATCTTCAAGTCTGAGTGTATTGACTAATTAAAGCAATTTTTCTAGGTGACCTTGAACCTGAATATTAGGACCAAACGCAAACTTTCTTAATAATGGTTCATAGTGCTTCTCACTGTTGTGTTGACAATCACCCAGGATATTTATAACATGCAGACATCTGGACCATACCCAAAGACTGATGCATCAGGCTACAGGAGTCTGGTCTGTCTTCCTCATGTGATCCTACTTTAACTTTGGGGGGCCAACATCTCCATATAAATGATAATGTCCAGGCCCTGAGGGTTGGTGAGTTGGGACTGGATCTCAGCCCTTCTCCCCTCCTGTAGCAATAAGTCCACGAGGTGTGAATGGGAATCCAACAGAGGTGAAGGCCACAGCAGGACAAGAGCATCCCATTCTCACAGATAAGACCAGATCTGTGTGGAACAGTCTTTAAATATGTAGGATAATATTGAAGTTAATTGAGGCAAATGACATATAAATAGGATTAACTGCTAGAAATTAATTTGTTTAGTGAAGCAATTTCTGATACTAAAACAGAAAGGTAAATGAAAACAGCCATGACCAGAGGTCATACCACTATATTGTCTCTGTAGAGGTGCTATGGAGAGTGACTTCACTCAGAAGGGCATCTGTCTGCTTTGGGAATAAATGTTAGAACCTGGCCACAGATCACCAGAATTGTCCCCACCTTTGCCCCAAACCATATCCATCTCTGCCCTCCATTCAGGCTGCCTGGGGACAGTGGGAATTCACCAAGTCTGAGAGTGCATTCTCAGAGACAAGACAAAGCAATTTAAATACAGGCTGACGGGCTATTTTGTAATGGAGCTGATGTATAGAACACATGCCCTGTGTAATTCTTCTTAAGAATTGCACCTTAACCATGGATGTGATGAAAAATGAAACTGAAACAGATCTTAATTATTTTAGTTTTAGGACACAGAAATGTTTTCAGTAATAAAATGTATATTGCTCAGAAATGAATTTTCTACCATCCATTCCAGTACACCCTACCTCATCTTTTTAGGTTGAATGCCTGTACTCTTGTGCTAGATTCTACTGTGGGAATGTAGGAAGCAATGACATTTATTACACATGCCAGAGGCTGGAAAGATGCCACTGCACAGCCTATAGGCCATGTTCAGAGTGTACATCTGCACTTTACACATGCTGAGCACAGAATTTGTCATGCAGTCAGTTCCTCTACTCTGGTTCTGTGAGGCAGGTGCTTTGTCCCCATTTCAGAGACAAGAAGACAGAGTAAGACTGTGCAAATGACCTGCCAACTTCAGGAGGTTCAGGTGTATTCCCCTCTACTTCAAGCTTCAGCTAATACCTCCACTAATTCCACACATGATAAGAGCAAGCAACATGTATGTCACTGCCCCAGTGGTGGCCATTCAAACCTTCCAAGCTCTGTCTTACCATATCTTCAGCATCTGCCACCTGCAGGGTGAGCTTTATTCCAGGTGGGTTTAGAGTGATGAGTGGTTACAGGTGCTGGCCTCAGGGAGTCTGTGGTCTGAACAGAGAACTATTTTCCAAAAATTAAACACTTGAGAGCTGTAACACCTGATTAAAACAGCTCCTAATTTCAAGTGATAAAACTTACTATGGGAAAAAATACCTGCTGGTGCCTGAGTTTGCAAATACGCTTACACTGGGCAGCTGGGTACTTCCACACTAAAAGCACTCAGCAGAATAGTAACTGTTACAATGCTGAAATCACTTGGAAGGACTGCTCAGATTCCAGGTGTTATGAATTAGCCAAATTTTATTTATCTTGCAAGTGACTACTGTGAAGCCCACCTCCTGCCCCCCCCCACCCTGGATTCCCGAGACCCCTGCCCCTCTTTAGGACTAACTGCTCTTTTTCACTTCTGTAAACTGGTTGATTGCTTGGCTGAGAGGACAAACTGTATTGACCCCATTTTGACTAGTTGTTTCAGACAGGCCTGAACATGCCCAGGCATGTTGTAATCTCACCTACCACCCCCACCCCAGGAGGCTATAGATCAAGCAAGCTCAAGCATATAACAGCCTTATAAGGTAGGAACAGAGACTTCTGGCCCCACAGATAACAGTCAGCATATTCCACAGCACTGATGATAGGACCCACCAATGAGAGACCTCAAAGGATGCATCCCAAGTAGCCAATCAATTCAAAAGTGTGTTGGTGCACACAGGCTCTTTGGACCAATCAAGATGTAACTCTGTTATTCTTTGTCTGAAACCTATAAAAATCTTCCATCCCCTGCAATTGGGGCTCTCAGCACAGATCCATTGCGTTGGTGAGGTCTGAGAGCCCGAGCTTAAGCCCGAATAAAGACTCTTTGTTCTTGCATGCCCTCTGGATTCTGTGGTTATTCTTGGGGGCCCGTTCTCTGGGCACAACATTTTGGGGCTTGTCCAGGATCCCTAAGAACCCCCTATGGGACCCCAGAGTGCTAAGTCTGCCTGATTCGATCGGTGAGTGTCTCTTGTGTTTTTGTCTTTTGTATTTGCATGCGTCTGGTTTTTGGGCCCAGTTTGAGATTGCCTGTTGAAAGTCTAGGCGGACGCGCTGGAAGGCCCCACGCTGTGGGACTCAGGAGATGTCCTGGACCCACCTGGTGGGGATTGGATCCCCTTGGTAAATTTTGAAGGATGGAGCGGGTCATGCCCGCCAGGAGGCAAAAGGCCATCGTCCTATTTTCAGTTTAAGGTGCCAACTAACTGTGTGTTGTTTTTCTGTGTGTTGTGCTTTTTGTTGTGTTTGTGACTCTTACTGCGTTAGAAGAGATGGGACAGAACCAAGTAACTCCTCTTAGCCTTTTCCAGGATCACTTCTCGGAGTTCAAAGCCCAGGCTAATTAGCCTGGGGTTAAGAGTAAAGAAAGGGAAGCTCTTTATGTTTTGTAGGAATGAATGGCCGACCTTTGGGGCTGGTTGGCCTGAAGAGGGGACACTTGACCTGCCCACTATCTACAGAGTAAAGGATATAATCTATGGCCATCCAGGCCACCCTGACCAGGTCCCTTACATCACAACTTGGCAGATTATGGTGGAGGAGCCTCCAAAATGGTTAAAGCCATTCCTTCCTCCTCTCCCCACTGGCCCAAAGCTGACTGTCCTCACCCTGCATGAGGATGAGTGGCAGAGAAATGAAACTAAACCCTCTGCCCCTCTCTACCCTGTCTTGCAGGAGGCACAGGGGAAGAACTTCTGCTTGAGCCATCGCCCATCAGCCTGTCCCACAAGCATAGCTTCAGGACACCCCGGGGGAGGTGGAGGCAGGCCCACCCCACAAGGCAGAAGAACACCCTCCCCAGACACAGAGGGTCCAAAGGGGACAGCCAAGGCTGGTGGAAGACTCTACTGTCCTCCCCCTCCGGGCTGTGGGGCCGCTCACTGAAGCAGGGGACCAACAGATGCAGTATTGGCCATTTGCAACTAGCGACCTCTACAATTGGAAGCTGCAGATGGCTAAATTTTCTGAAAAGCCCCAAGGTCTAATTGATTTGCTAGAATCTGTTTTGTTTACCCATTCAGCAGCTTTTGCAGGTCCTGTTCACCACTGAGAAAGAGACTGGATCCTGGTTGAAGCCCGCAAGCTGGTCCCTGGGGTGGATGGAAATCCCACCACCAATCAGGCCCTAATAGATGAAGCCTTTCCCCTGGTTAGGCCGAATTGGGACTTCAATGTGGCTGAAGGTAAGGAGAGGCTCCAGGTCTACTGCCAGACTCTAATGGGGGGGTTTCTGGGTGGCCGCAAGGCGTCCCACCAATTTGGCCAAGATTAGTGGCATGCAGCAAGGGAGAGCAGAATCACCCCCAGCATTCTTAGAAAGGGTCCTTGAGGCGTTCCGTACCTATACTCCAATGGACTCGGAAGCACCCGAGAATAAGAATGCAGTGATCCTGGCGTTCGTGAACCAGTCTGCACTCAATATTAGGTGCAAATTGCAGAAATTGGACAGACTGGCAGATAAAACCCTGCCAGAGCTTCTGGCAGTGGCTGAGAATGTCTACAATCATCGAGAGAATCCTGAGGACAAGCAGGCCTGGGTCGCTGCTGCTGCCAGTGCCAAGCAGACCTGCGACTTTTCCATGATCCTTCTGGTCACATCAACCAGGTCCCCAGGTGAAAGAGAACACCAGCTGTGATACCTATCTGCTGAACAAGGTAAGAGATGCCCAGAAGGGTGACCAAAATTGTTAAAAAACCAATGTGCCTATTGTAAGAAAATGGGCCATTGGAAGAAGGAATGTCCAGAAAGACCAGCTGGGCAGGAGCAGGTCCGTGAAGGAACACAAGTCCTGGAGCTTGGGGAATGGAGCGAATAGGGAGGACAGGGTTCCAGATCCCCTCCCTGAGCCCAGGGTAACTCTCAGAATGGAGGGGACACCTGTGAGCTTCCATGTAGACATAGGTGCTCAACATTCAGTGTTAACAGAGACCCTAGGGAAATTGTCAAACAAAAGGTCTTGGGTACAGGGAGCAACTGGCATGAATCAATATTCATGGACCACCTGAAGGAAAGTGGACCTAGGGATGGGCCAGGTGTCCCACTCCTCCCTAGTCATGCCAGATTGCCCCACCCTCTCTTAGGTAGAGACTTGCTAACTAAAATTGGAGCCCACATCCACTTTTCACCTAATGGGGTTCATTTAATAGATAAAGGAGGCCACTGACCTTGCAACTGGAAGACGAGTACCGACTGCACCAAAAACTGAACCTGCAGGCAATGGAGATTTCTGTTTGGCTGCAGGAATTTCCTCTGGCCTGGGCTGAGACTGGAGGGACGGGGCTGGGAGCCCACCGGCCACCCATCTCGGTGGAGCTGAAACCGGGAGCCCTTCCGGCTCATGTGAAGCAGTATCCAATGTCACATGAAGCCAGATCAGGGATTTCCCCACACATCTGGAGGCTAAGAGACCAGGGTATCCTAGTACCCTGCAGGTCTGCATGGAATACACCTCTCCTCCTGGTAAAGAAGCCAAACTCAAATGATTACCAGCCAGTACAGGATCTGAGAGAAGTAAATAAGCAGGTTATGTATATCCATCCCATGGTGTGTAATCCCTATACCCGCCTGAGCTCCTTGCCATCCTCCAGGAGCTGGTATACTGTACTAGATTTAAAAGATGCCTTCTTTAGCCTGCCCTTAGCCAAGGAAAGTCAGCCATTCTTTGCCTTCGAATGGCAAGATCCAGAGGTCAGTTTCAGCGGACAGCTGACCTGGACTTGCCTGCCTCAGGGATTCAAGAACTCTCCCACTCTCTTTAATGAGGCAATTCATGAAGATTTGGGTTACTGCAGGCTGGAACACCCCTGGCTCACTCTATTGCAGTATGTAGATGACATCCTGATAGCTGCTGATGACACTGTACTATGTCAGCAAGGAACTAGGGATTTGCTGGAGACTCTGGGCAGGCTAGGATGCTGGGCATCTGCTAAGAAGGCACAAATGTGTCATCGAGAAGTGATTTATCTAGGGTACATTCTAAAGGAAGGACAAAGATGGCTCACAGATGCCAGAAAAGAAATGGTGCAGAAAATTCCTTTCCCCAACTCCCAGAGAGCAGTGAGGGAGTTTCTGGGATCAGCAGGGTTTTGCTGCCTCTGGATCCTGGGGTTTGCTGAATTGGCTAAGCCTCTCTATGAGGCTACAAAAGAGAATGAGACTTTCATTTGGACAGGGGAAAGAGAAAGGGCCTTTAACGAAATTAAGCAAGCCCTCCTGGCAGCCTTGGCTTTGGGGCTTCCTAATGTCACTAAGCCTTTCCACCTCTACATAGATGAAAAGAAAGGAATAGCCAAAGGAATCCTGACTCAAACATTAGGACCCTGGAATAGACCAGTGGCATATTTGTCTAAGAAACTTGATCCAGTAGCCACAGGATGGCCACCGTGTCTGTGGATTATAGCTACTACTGCCCTTCTAGTCAGGGATGCTGATAAATTGACATTAGGGCAAGAACTGCACATCACCACTCCTCATGCTATTGAAGGAATTCTCAAGCAGCCACCGGACCGCTGGTTGAGCAATGCCCAAATAACCCATTATCAGAGCTTGCTTCTTAACCCTCCAAGAATTCGGTTCCTCTCAAGCACCGCCCTTAACCCAGCCACCCTGCTGCCCAACCCTGACTTGGACATGCCCCTGCACGATTGTGCAGGGATCCTGAGCCAGGTACATGGCTCATAAATGACCTGACCTATCAGCCACCCTCCGATGCAGAAGCTACTTGGTTCACTGACAGCAGCAGTTTCCTGAAGGATGGGGAGAGGTATGCAGGGGCGGCAGTGGTAACTGAGACTGAGACTGTTTGGTGGTGGCTTTGCTTGCAGGAACCTCAGCTCAGAGATCCAAACTGATATCTCTGACTGAGGGCCTTAGGCTTGGAAAGAACAGACGATTGAATGTGTACACAGACAGCCAATATGCCTTTGCTACGGCACATGTGCATGGAGCCATCTACCAGGAAAGGGGACTGCTCACAGCAGAGGGAAAAGCTATTAAAAATAAACAAGAAATTCTTGACTTGTTGGTGGCCCTATGGCTGCCTAAGAAGTTGGCTATTATCCACTGCCCCGGGCACCAGAAAGCTAACGTGCCCATAGCTCGAGGAAATCAAAGAGCAGACAGGAAAGCCTTGGAGGCTTTCCAGATTTTACCAATCCAACTGCCAGATCCTGCCCCCCCATCCTACCCGATCAGCCTTGCTACTCCCAAGCAGATATGAAGATGATACACAGGCTTCCAAAGGCTCAAAAGATCGGTCTTTGGTGGCATACAGGAGACTGTAGAGTTATTCTACCAAATGACCTGGCCAAAGACCTCCTCTCACACATCCACCGAACCACTCACCTGGGTACAAGGAAGACAGCTGAACTCTTAAGAAATGCTCACTTAAGTCTTAAATCTATGCACACTGGCTAATGCCATCACCTCTGCATGCCTTAGTTGCAAGCTGACCAATGCTGAAAACCATCCTAAGGAACAAGGGGCTCAAATGAGGGGCTCTAGACCAGGGGCCCACTGGGAGATGGACTTTACAGAGGTTAAGCCAGGCAAGTATGGTTACAGATATCTACTAGTTCTGGTAGGCACCTTTTCAGGATGGACTGAAGCCTTCCCCACCAAGCATGAGACTGTTCAGGTGGTAGCCAAGAAACTGCTGGAGGACATCTTACCCAGGTATGGCGTCCCAGCCCTTCTGAGCTCCGACAACGGGCCAGCCTTTGCATCACAGGTAACCCAGGAATTAGCTAGGATATTGGGGGCAAGATGGAAATTACATTGTGCGTACAGGCCCCAGAGCTCTGGACAGGTAGAGAGGATGAATAGGACTCTAAAAGAGACCCTTACCAAATTAACCATGGAGACTGGCAGGGACTGAGTGGCTCTCCTTCCCTTTGCCCTGTGTAGGGTGAGGAACTCACCCTATCTGCTAGGGTTAACCTCCTATGAGATCGTGTTTGGAAGACCCCTTCCTATTCTCCCCAATTTAAAAGCTGAACTAAATGCTGAATTTGATAACCGTTAGTTGTTTAATTCCTTAGAGGCAGTGGCTCATGCACATGAGGATGTGTGGCCCCACTGAGAGCTATCTATGAGACAGCACCTCCTCCCATTCCGCACAAATATCAGCCACATGATTGGGTCTACGTCTGCTGGACCACCGTGAAATGCTCGAGCCCTGCTGGAAGGGCCCTCATGTGGTGTTCCTGACTACACTCACAGCTGTCAAGTTAGACAGAATCGCTACCTGGATACATCACACTCACATCTGGAGCCACCCCTCTTTAGGACTAACTGCTCTTTTTCACTTCTGTAAACTGGTTGATTGCTTGGCTGAGAGGACAAACTGTATTGACCCCAATTTGACTAGTTGTTTCAAACAGGCCTGAACATGCCCAGGCATATTGTAATCTCACCTACCACCCCCACCCCAGGAGGCTATATATCAAGCAAGCTCAGGCATATAACAGCCTTATAAGGTAGGAACAGAGACTGCTGGCCACACAGATAGCAGTCAGTACACTCCACAGCACTGAGGATAGGACCCACCAATGAGATACCTCCAAGAATGCATCCCTAGTAGCCAATCAATTCAAAAGTGTGTTGGTGCACGCAGGCTCATTGAACGAATCAAGATGTAACTCTGTTATTCTTTGTCTGGAACCTATAAAAAGCCTCCACCCCCTGAAATCAGGGCTCTCAGCGCAGATCCATTGCTTTGGTGAGGTCTGAGAGCCCGAGCTTAAGCCCGAATTAAGACTCTTTGTTCTTGCATGCCCTCTGGTTCCTGTGGTTATTCTTGGGGGTCCATTCTCTGGGCACAACAACTACACTCTCTGGGTTGGGCTTTAGAGAGTACAACTTCGACTCAGGGAATAGAAATGTTTATGAAGGTAAAAATCATATCCTGATTGTGCTGGATAGCTTTAGTGTCAACTTGACACACCTGGGTTGAGGGAGCCTCAGTTGGGGAATTTCCTTCATTGGACTGGCCTGTGGTCATGTCTGTGGGGCATTTTCTTGATTGTTGAGTGATGTGGGAGGGCCCAGCCCACTGTGGGTAGTGCCACCCCTGGGCAGGTGGGCCTGTGTTGGATAAGAGAGCAAGCTGAGCAGAGGCCAGGGGAGCAAGTCAGTAAGCAGCATTCCTCCATGGCCTATGCTCCAGCTCCTGCCTCCAGGTTCCTGCCCTGAGTTCCTACCTTGGGCTCCCTAATGAACTGTGACCTGCAAGATGTAAGCTGAATAAAGCCTTTCCTCCCCAAGTTGGTATTGGTCAGAGTGTTTTGTCACAGCAATGGAGAAACAAACTAGGATACTGATGAAAGAAGCAGTTACTCAAGAGTGACAGGTATGCAAACAGGCAGTTACTGAAGCCAGATAAGCCTTAACTAGAACTTTCTAGGGTTTTATGCATGTGTTTCTCTGTGTGTATTTCTTCCTTGAATATCCCTGTGGTTATTCTTGGAACTTCAAGCCTGAGCCACGGCAGCTCATCAAGATGGTGGTCTTATATGGAATGGAGGAGCTCAGGCTATCACATTCCCCACTGGCTCTGGAACATGAGTCAAATCATTGACTCATTCTGATTTAACAGCTCATATTGCATCTTCAGTGTGGTGGTTTGAATGAGAATGTCCCCCATAGGCTCCAGGTATTTGGACATTTTCTCCCTAGTTGGTGTCGCTGTTTTGGGAGGTCTTAGAAGGTGTGGCTATCCTGGAGGAAACATGTCACTGGGGGCGGGCTTAGAGAGTTCCTAAGCCTATCTGATCTCAATTTGCTCTCTTGTTTCCTGTGCCCACTTGAAGATGTGAGAGCTTAGCTTCTGCTCCTCCACCAGCAACCTCTGCTACCATGTCTCCCTGCCACAGTGGACTCTTGCCCCTTGGAACAGTAAGCTCAAATAAACTCTTCTTTCTATAAGTTCCTTTGGTCAGTGTTTCTATTATAGTGACAGAAAAATAACTAATACACTCAGAACCATAATTTTTGATGCCTTTTAATATACCCAGTTAGGCAATGTAGAAGGCATGGACCCACAGTAAAGGCTAAGAGGAGTAGTAGGGGTTCAAAGACTGCAGTTATTAAGGTGGTGAGCTATGGGGACCAGGAGGTACCAGTTAGAGGATGTTTGTCTCTCTTTTTTTATGTTTTGTTTAACCAGGGCTATAGTCTCCCTGATTAC